TAGGACCCACCTTTCAAATGACATAATTGGGTTTCCCACCCTCTTAACACTGTTATAATGGGGATCAAGTTTCCAACACATGAATGAACTTTTGGGGGACACATTTACCACATAGCATTAGACAAATCACCACTACCATCTAGATTCTAGTTACCAGTTCCATACAAATCATTGTACTTGAATGTATATGGTTTTAAAAAATGACAGAATCAAAGTACCTTATACTTTTTATTATTGTATTTCATATATCTTTTTTTTTTTTTTTTTTTTTGTCTTTTTCCGTGTCCGGCAACGGATCGCAACCCTCAGTGTTGCCCCCGCGCCTCGCTCAGCCAGTGAGTGGGAACCGGTCTGTATGTGGGATCCGAACCCTCGGGCGGGAGCGCCGTCGCGCTTCCCAAGTGGCGCACTATAGCAGTGTGCCACCGGGCCGGCCCCTGTATTTCATATATCTTAAGCATGTAAAATAAATTTATTCCAATGATTTGATTTCATGCATTGACTATGAATAGCAATTTCTAGCCAATTTTTTTTTTTTTTTTGATGGCTGGCCAGCAAGGGGATCTGAACCCTTGACCTTGGTTTTATAAGGAGGGGCTCTAACCATCTGAGCTAAACAGACAGCCCTCTAGCCAAATTTTGATTTCTGCATACTTCAAATACATTCTTTTATGTTGTTATATATTTTTTCAATTACACAATGTAATTGTATTCATTTTTTGTGGAAAGTTGTTATACATTGCTATACATATCTTCTCCCTTTCCCACCTCTGGTGTCCTCAGTCTTGTTCTCTCCTTTTGAGAGTTCAAGGAATTATTGTAATTGTTGTTTCTTTCTTTCTTACTTTTTTTTCATCTCCCACTTATGAGTGAGGACATGCGGTATTTCTCTTTCTGTGCCTGGCTTATTTCACTTAACATAATTTTCTCCAAGTTCACCCATGTTCCTGCAAATGGCAGAATTTCTTTCCTTCTTGTTACAGAGTAGTATTCCATTATGAATATATACCACGTTTTCCTTATCCAGTCGCCTGTTGATGGACATTTAGATTGGTTCTGTATCTTGGCTATTGTAAATAGAGCTGCGATAAACCTGGGAGTGCGGGTATCTCTTTTTCATGATGATTTCCATTCCTTTGGGTATATACTCAGCAGTGAAATTACTGGATCATATGACAATTCTATCCGTAGTTGTATAAACAAATTTTTTGCAAAGTTTCTGCTACTGCTACTAGCAAGGACTTACATTGTAATGATTAATGCTGGTTTTTTAAAGCTTTTTTATTCTATTGTGATTTGCATCAAAGTACATTCCTGAAATGCTTACTATTTAACTCTTGAATAAAAATTTAATCAATATAGAAATTTCCTGCCATTCTTGATCAAATACAAGCTGTTTTCAAGTCATTTGTAGATTATGGTTCCGTGGTGTGTGCATATGTGTCCAAACCCGCTATGCAACTTACATAATACAAGGGTGATTTTAGTAACCACATGGGTGGTTTCTTGGCCTTGGGAATAAGAATGGGTATTTTTTTTTCTTCATGTTGTAAGTCACGAAAGTTATCTTCCATCAAATATTCAAATATAAACTGTCTACTTCCATTCAAACCTGCAAGCTGCATGGGGAAAGTTTTAAACTTCTCTTTGAGGTTTTCCTTTTCCAAGAAAGTGCAAAAGGAAGAAGGAATTGCCATAAAGGAAAGCAAAATCACTGCTCCCCAGTTCTTTTTACTTAATTCTCCCTTCCTAAACCTCTCTTTCCCTCCCCTCCCTCAGCATAGTCGGGTTTTATACCCATAAGTTTTTTTTTGGGGGGGGGGAGTTTCCTCTCCCACCTACCCACCCGCTTTTTATACCCGTAAGTATTTGGTGAATCACTTTAACGTTTCGTGACTAAAGTACGTGGGCGAAACCCCTCCAAGAAAAGAGAACGCTGCTCTCAAGACCTTTCAAGGTAGGGAAAGCTTGGGAAACTGTTTCTATGGACACAGGACGCGTTGCTACGGGACTAAAGGCGGGGGAGGGGAGTAACTACCAGAGCCAGAAGAGAAAGCAGATGGGGTTTGTTTTGCGTTGGAAAAGCTGGAAATCACGATCTGTACAGGGGTGGGAGGTGAAATAGAAAAAACGTAGTTTTATTAAAACATCCTTTTTGTCCCCCCAGTCGGTGGAACTTTCGCCAGTGGGATCTGGGAGGGGAGAGAGTACGGGTGGGATGCGAGAGGCGTAACCTGAAGCTGGGCTCTCAGGTGAGTGTGGGACGCAGGTGGGAGGCGGGGCCGAGAGGCTCTTCCAGGTGCCTTGAAAAACCCTTTGCCTCTTCGATGCTTAATATGAATGAACTTCCTCAAGTTTGCCCCCAATTTTGGCTTTCCATGAAAGGACCATAGGCATAGAGTGTTTGAATCGGGCTCCTCTTCCAAGAAGGATGGAGGCGCCGCGGGAAGGAGAACTGGGGGGCGGGGAGAGGCGCCAGAGGCAGCTCAAGGGCACGTAATTGATACATTTCCAACTTGCCTGTCGCCGAGGAAGCTGGAGAGGCTGGGGGCGCTAATCACTCCTGCGGTAGTAGTGGGCCCATGTTGAGTGAGCCAATCAATTCTTAGAATCATTATCAGATTGGTTGCTCCCAATAATATTCCCCAATGCATGTACATCATACTTTAAAATTGCCTTAATATTTTTCCTTAGAAACGTCCCTTCCAACCTCAAGTTGGTGACAGGCAAATTTTAGTAACAGTTAGAAACGAAAAGTAAGCTTTCTCTCCCTCTGTCATAACAAAAAAAGGACAAGAATATAAATGACATGGATCTAAGAACATGGGCCAGGTTTATAGTTATCTTTTATTAATGAGTTTTAAAGTTAGTTCTCCCAATTTGTGGGCTGAATTAGTTTGCTAGGACTGCCATAACAAAATACCACAGACTGGGAGGCTAAACAATAGAAATTTGTTTTCTCACAGTACTGGAAGCTAAAAGTTGTAGATTTTTAGGGGTGATTTCTTTGGAGGCCTCTCTCCTGGTCTTGGAGATGGCTGCCTTCTCACTGTGTCCTCACAAGGTCTTTCCTCCCGGTGTGTTATCTGTGCAATAAGAGAACGTAAGAAAAAGGGACTTTCACCAAGACAAAGAATGAGAGGACACTAAGACCAGTTTTTTGAAAGTAGTTGTCTTTACACTAGGATTTGGTTAAGAGTAGGCTTTGGACTGGAAGACATGAGGAGAGAACATTCTGAGTGGAAGGAAACACGAGTTGGGGACATGCTTGGGAAAAGGGCAGGAAGCATCCAGGGAACAGGAGTAGTCGAATATAGTGGAAGAGGAAGGGACAGAGTGGATAAACTGGAAAAGGTGAGCTGAGCCAGATTCTGGACTGTGTTTCTTGAACGGTCTGCTATCCTCTGAAGAGTTTGGGTGTCATCCTGCAGGTAATGAGAAGCAAGCCAACCTTTGTGGGTTGGAGCTGGACCTGATCAATGTCCTGTTTAAGAAAGACAGTTCTGGTAACATTTTGAAAGATCAGTATTAGAGGGATGAGGAGGAAAGCTAGGGGCAGGCAAAATAAGGGGGAGTACAGTGCAGTAACCCAGGGCCGGGAAAGTGAAAACCTAAAGGTCTGAAGGAGGGCAAGGGCAATGGAAGTCAAAGCAAGGATCAGAAGAGTTTTGTATCAATGTAGCCCCAGTGTTCATAGAATTATGTGAAAGACTTGATGCATTCTAACCCCGAGATTCTATGAAATAGGTTTCCGTGACCACATAAAGACCCTGTATTCCAGATGAGAGCATTTCCCCCTATAAGAATGCTTCAGACATACTTATACATATTTAAGAAGTGAGATCATCTCTCCCACCCACAGTTAATATAACATTTGAAAAGGGGATGATTAGATATCTGTTAACCACAATACTAATATTGTTTTTTGACGAGATGCCGGTATGGAGACATAGTAATGCTTATCAGGGTAATCTCCCTAAATGGTTACTAACTTCTCAAGACCTATACTTGGGCTTTATAGGGCAATGAGTTTTAATTTCTATTCACTGAACTCAAAATTAAGAATTTAATAGAAAGTTCAGAAGTAAAACTATGAGGAAATTAGGAAAGGAAAGGAAACAAAATAATCAGATAACATTTTACAGAAGATACTTAATTACTGGATTAAAATAGAAGATACTAAATTGCTGAATAAATTCTCATTGTTTCCCAAGTTCCAAAGTGATTTAGGATAGGTGTAACTGAAGAAATATATTGCAAAGGAAGCAAATAGAAAGAAAGTCAGACGTATGGAGACCATTGATCACATGGTGGCAAGTATGGCAGAAAAAAATGAAATGGTTTGCAGATGGAGAATGTGCATTTTGCAGCATTTATAGGAAATCCCACACATCTTATTTCTGACTGGTAAGTGTATCATTACTTAGATTTATTTATTTTATTTACCACTTATATGTCACTTACATTTGCATAATTAAACCTCATAACAACCTTGAAATAGGTACTTTTATTATTTTCATTTTATAGATGGGCAACACAGAAAGATTAAGCAAGCCCACAGTCACACAACTGGTAAGCAGCAGAGCTAAGGATTCAAACCCAGAAAGTCTGAATCCAGGGTCTATGTTCTTAAACAGTACACTATGCTGCCTTTCTAAGTTTGAAGGTGGGGGAGAAAGCAATGTTTGCTATGTTACATTTAATATAGGATCTATTCCTTTAACTTTTACTTCCCTTCAACCAATTTTCTCTTCCTCTTTTTTTTTTTTTTTTTTTTTAATGCTATGGCTTGATCTGGAAGAACCTCAACAGGACTCTGTCAAAGATTCGTGCATACTCATAAATATAAACACAAGCTAAAAACAGTCATACATTTACAGTTGTCCATTTCCTCTGTAGCTGATGATTAAGTCATTCATTCAAGTTGTTAGGTATTAGGGATGCAAAGATAAATTAGACATGGTCCCAGCCTTCAAGAAACACATAGTATAGAATAAGACAAATATATCACATGTTTTATTATAGTGTGATAAGTGCTAGGATAGCAGTTTACAATAAGATGTCATATGAGCACAGACATTTGGCATCTAAATCATAGTGTATCCGAGAAAGCTTCCTAGGAGAGGTGTTGCTTGTGGTGTTGGGTCTTGAAGAACGAGTAGGACAGGGAATGGAAGAATGATGTTGGAGGCAAAAGGATTAGCAAAAACAAAGCAAATAGAGGAAAATACAACATATTTAATGAACCACAAGTTGTTCATTATGACTGGGGTATCAAGTGTACATGAGCAAGAGACAGATGAGGTTAAAGATTTAGTCAGAGGCCAAACTATGAGCCTTGCATGATAAATCAAGGAACTTGAAATATGTTCTGGAAGCTGTTGGGAGGGGTTGAAGCTTTAAGCAGAGAGTCATGTAATTGTATTTTTCTTGAAAAAAGTAATTCAGATGTAAAGAATAGGATGGAGGATAGAATGGATCAAATGTATAGACATATTTTGAAACTATTGCAATAATCCAGGCAACAGGTTATGGAATCCTAAACTGAGGCAGTAGCAATATGACTAGATTAGAGGAAAAAAGCAAAAAGATATTTAGAATGTAGCATGTACAAGATAAGTGATTATGTATATTTAGGGAGGGGTGAAAGGAGTTTTCTGGGATTGTGGTGACCAAATCCTCTCCAAACCGGGAAGCCCATTCACTTCAATATGTTGGTTCTTCCAGTTATTTATCTTTGTATCTCCTGCTGAGAGAAATCTTTATCTCCAATAAAAGAAATTTTGGTAAGAAATACGGAAGCCTTCTCCATCCCACAGAACTCTTGTTATGTTTAAGGGAAACACAGAAACTAGAATTCCTTAGTTGTTTTTAGAATATACAAGAAGGCTGGTTCCCGGGTCTGAAAAGAAAGTATATAGTGTCCACATAATCTAATCCCCTTCCAAAATCTGTCCCAGATTCTCCTGTAGGAGACCCAGAGAGTCGGAGTCATGAACATTGTACTAACACCTTTACTCTGAATCTCCCCTTTCCAACCTACAACCTTAGGCTATGTGGTTTGTAACAGGGCATGCTGTCTGCCTGCACCCCCATGGACCAGAATTTTCTGTGTGTAACTTCTGTGTCACAATGGACTACATCATGGGATGGAGGTGGAATATCTAGCAGCATAGCAGAGAGCATAATAGGATGGGAAATCTCTATCAGAGCATGAGGAATTCACACTCGTATGGTGAAGGAAAGAGAGTAGAGAAGAGTGAAAAGAAAACAAATACAAAATAATGTCTGCTTTTGGCATAGGATCCTGAATCCTTGGCTTTTCGTGCATTATTGTTTCTGTGTGATATTGATTGAATAATATAGAATATGGGAGAAATATCATAGATTTTCTTGAGCTAGAAAGAACCTTAGCATTGACATTGATGTTCATTAAAAATGTTGATAAATTCAATACTTCCTGTGAGCCATATAACTTTTACACTTAAATGCCACTGGAGCCCATTCAATTGAAAAATACATTGAATGCATAGTGATCTACTCAAATTTTAAAAATTAATAATATAAAGGGAGCTTTGGGTTAGTATTCCTGGATTCTTGACTCTGCTGTACAAAATCTTAGAGAAGTTAGATGTCCTTGATAAGCAAGCAAAGATAATCTTGGCTGGAAGAGCAAAGGTTTGTAAAATACAAGTTAAAATCCAATTTAATCATTAAAAAGTTGACATTTTAAATATGAATAATTTTACTTTTTAGTTAATGATGTATTAATATGAAGATGTAAACTAATTTTTAAAAAGCAAAAAATTATGTTATTTGAATGAGTCATCTAAGTAAGTGAATACTAAAAGGAATTAATTAAATATACAAGACAACTTCTAGATAGCTGCCATGGTAGGTTATGGTCTGTATCAAACCTGCTCTAGATAAAAAAAAATCCTAAACACCCAAATGTTAAATGTGGCTATTCTTAGTTCTTACTGATATGTTAAACATACAAAAAGTTATTCCGATGGTCTATTAAAAGGAAGAGAACATTTGGCATAGTTAATGAAGAGGACCCAGTGGAGAGACATGCCTGCTATGGTTCCAACAACCCTACGTATCAATATTGTCTTTGCTGAATATATAGCCTTTCTGCTAACCAGCCAGCCCTTTCCTCAAATTCTGAATTTTAGTGTTAGGAGGGAGTCTAAATGATCACCTAATATAACACCCTCATTTCTTAGATGGGAAAAAAAAGCCTCAGGTCACTCAGCAAAGGCATAAAAAAAAGTTGGTACCCACGGCCCCCAATTTTCAACCTGTAATATTTTTCCATTACTGCCCACACATAAATTCTGTGTGTGTGTGTGTGTGTGTGTGTATAAAATGAGATTAATTTTTGTCCTTTTCACACAGGATTTTCCCTATATAAAAATAACTTCTTTTTTTCCACTTTGGCTTTGCTACAGAAAAACAGGCTTCAGAGTGAAGGAAAGAAAAAGACTTTGGTTACACCGCTGACATTTGATTTTCAGTTGGAATTTGAAGAAGCTATTGCTACATCCACTAAGGCAGTATCAAAGGTCACAGAAGACAAATCATGTGGCATTAAAAGATCAAAAAGGTAACTATCATAACTATTTCAAACTTTCAGTTTGGAGTTTTAAAACATATTTGTCTTAGATTATGCAATGTATAGTAAATGAAAGCTTTGCCATATGGTATATTTTTAAATGGTTATGAGTTAAAATATACTAAATCATTCTGAATAGTCCTAGTTTATAAAATATTTATTATAATATTTCATTAGTGTAGATGGCAATTACAATTCTGAATTTGTAAAGAAAGGCTTTTCTTGAGCTCAATTATATTGCCTAAAATTAATGTCAGAATTTATTTCAAACTTTAACTGATATACTTCAGGAAAAAGTCTGCCTAGAAAACTAAGTAAGGCAGTTTCTCTGAGTACTTACCAGGGATAGCCTGAATATGTCATACTTGGCTTTTCACTGGCATTGTGTACATGTGTAATGCTATGTAATTTTTCCAGGCATCAGAAATGTAGAGGAGAGCCCCAAAAGAGAAGTAATAAGATGTAGAATCAATAGAATTTCAAATCAACTGGATATTGGTGGTAGTGTGGATACTGTTCTTATTTATTCTGTGTAACAATCCAATGTGTTAAGTGCAGTTTTACAGACGAAAAATCCAAATCAAAATAAAGTTAAATAACCTGTCCAAGGTCACATAGCTAACAAGGGGCAGAGGGTGGATTTAAATCCCAACAGCCTGATTTCAGAGCCTGTGCTTTTTATTACTACCCCATTCAATAGGATGACTGGGGAGTTTTCAGGCTTGGTGATGAAGTGCATGGTATACCAGGTAAAGACTGAAGAGTGATTGGTAAGAAATGAGGCTAAAGAGGTTAGGAAACGTCAGATCACCAAAGGCCTTATAAGCCAGCTAAAGAACTTTGAACAATCTCCTAAGGCAGTGAGGAACCACTGAAGGGTTAAATAGGGCAGTGCATACTCAGAATTAGATTTTAGAAATATCATTAAGTAGCAAAGAAGTAGTTGAAAATCATGAGGGCTCCTCAGAGAACCTGACCTTTTGCTAGAGTCGTAGTATCTCCAGAACCTGCCTGTTCCAGGAAGTAACCCATCTTGCAGTGAGTCCTTTTCTAGCCACACCAGAAAGATTACTTAAATAACAGAGCATAAGGCAGAAAGCTCCTATCCTCATATCAGCAATGATATGCTGTTTACATTGGTGTGTTCTATGGATTCAATTTATTTTTTAACAGAAGGATAAAGTTACATGCAGAAAAGATAATTTAATATGAATAGAGAATACAGTTGTAGCCTGTAGTGAAACTTAATTGGCTAAATTCCTTCTTTCTTTCATTCAATATATGTCATATTCTTTGCGTGATACTAGTCTGGCATAGAGATTAAGAGGGTGGGGTGTATAGATCAGTTGCCAGGTTTGTATACTAGCTTTGCTTTCTATTAGCTCTGTTTTACAAACTCTTTGTGCCTCAGTTTCCACATCTTTACAGTGGGGATGATAATAGTATATATTCTACAGGGTACTTGTGAGAATTAAATGGGTTAATATACATGAAGAGTTTAAAGTTCCCCAATATATAGTAGGCACTCAAAACAAAAACAAAAAAGACCAACAACAAAAATATAAGCTTTGTTTTTGCAATATGCAATCATATATTCCAATCATTAAAAATAAGATGGTAACGAGGTACACTTAAGCCATGTTGACTTAAGGCAAGCATTTCTGAAATCTTAGATAACATGTGACTTAATAGTTAAGTGGAGTGGGTGGGGTGGAACAGAAAGGGTGGAGAAGATGGAGACATTTATGTGAGTGGAAACAGAGGTTCATGCCGACCTTGCTACAACTGACATAAATCTAGATTCTTTTAAGGCTCCATAAGGATTCAAGGAAGCTGAGGGCCTTACCTCCTCCAACTCCCTGTGGGGAGAACCTCACTATTGGCTGAACACCCCCTCTTCTCTGAAGCTGGAAGTGGACTCCCAGTTGCTCATACCTGGAGAAGCCTGAGATTCTGGAGTAGGGCTTCTTAACATTGGTGGCTTGTTAAAATCACCTGTGAGCTTTTTAAAAACATGCTATGTCCCCAATCCTAGAGACTATGACTTAACTGTAGATATTTTTTTCAAAGCATTTCAGGTGATTCTAATATGCAACTAGCAATTTGAGAACCATTGCTACAGGCTCTTCATTTCTCAATCAAGAGATCCTAGTGGGACAACCTGTTTGCCACTGATTCACTACAAAAGGATCTCATCTCTCACTGCCTGATATTACCTGAGTTCCAAATAGCCTGAACATTAGAGGTGCTGAAGGAACCTATACTCACTGAAAAGAGAAGCCAAAGAGAAGTCACATTTAAGGGGTCATTTAAGGGGACTCTTAAGTAGGGAGATGAAGCCAAACAATCAGAACAGGTGACTCCTAATGAGGCAGATTTAATGAGAACAACAGAAGAGCTTTAGAAAATATGTCTCTTAAGGGCAGAAATAACTGGGGGGGTGGGAGGAAGAAGACTTTTTAAAAAATCTGAATCAAAAACAAATAGGGAGGGGCCGGCCCGGTGGTGCACTGCTACAGTGTGCCGCTTGGGAGCGCAGTGGCGCTCCCGCCATAAAAATCTGAATCAAAAACAAATAGGGAGGGGCCGGCCCAGTGGTGCACTGCTACAGTGTGCCGCTTGGGAGCGCAGTGGCGCTCCCGCCAAGGGTTCGGATCCTACATACAGACCGGCCGCTCACTGGCTGAGCGAGGTGCGGGTGCAACACCGAGGGTTGCGATCCCGTTGCCGGTCCTGGTCCGGTACAGGTGCGACACTGAGGGTTGCGATCCGTTGCCGGTCACGAAAAAAAAAGACAAAAAGGAAAGGAAAAAAAAAAAAAAAAAACAAATAGGGAAATTAAAAATAGAATATGGATGAAAACTGGGTTGACAATGTAGAAGATCAAATAGAGACACAATCTTGCAAAACTACAAAAAAATGGAAATCAGATTGAAAAGAGACATATAGCACAATTTCAGGATACTCAATATATAGATATATACTTAATATATCAATCAGAAGAGAGAGAAATAGATGATTAGAAAATAATTTTTAAAAAGCAGGAAATATGTCCTTATTTTGAAGACAGACTTGAATTTTCAAGTCAAAAGGGTCACCAAGTGCTAGACCTATGGTAAAATCACTTAATTCCAAAGGCAGAAAAAACAGGTTAATTACAAAGGAAAGGAAATAAAATCAGTTTTATATATCTCATCTGCATCTCTGAGGCTAGAAAACTGTAAACCATTTTCAACTTTTAGACAGAATGGCTATTCAGGAATCCTCTGTTTTGTTTGATGAAAACAAAAGAGCAACATGCTTTTTGAACACAAAAGACTTTAGAAAGTAATATACCAGTGTATTCATTCTGAGAAAATTACTTGGATAAGTATTGTGTCCAAATTAAAATTAATTACAAATAAAATAAAGATCCATCCCAATAAAGATCTCAAACTGGTTATATTTATTACGGAAAAATGTATTTAAAATTATCCCATGATGCCAGAATGAAAACTCTGGGCTTCCATCTCAATGTGGCTGTCTAAAAACATAAAACGTTCCCAAGAATTACCAGGGAAATAGTCCATAAATGATTTCTGGCTGGAAAGGGGCAGCTTTTAGAGTGACCCACATGCTCCCACCTGAGCTGTGTCCTCCTCTCAGGTTTCATCTCTTTGCATGCTGGTGCCATTCCAATGATCCATTCCAGCGATGTGAAGCAGCCTTCCTGTAATTCCAGCCCATGCAACTCAAAATCAAGGCCTCTATCTATATTCCCCTAAATTCAGCTAAGGCAGGATATAATTTCACAGGGAATTTTGCTAAAAAAAAAAAAAAAAAAAGCAAGGTGGGGAGGGATGGGGGGATGAATTTTTTTTTGAAACTGCAAAAAGTCCAAAACCAATTAAACTTAGAAATAACAGATTTATGATCCCATACTATAAAATTAACCCCCTCAATTTATAATTTAGCTATTCCTCATCCTCTATGAGAATCCAGTGCTAGGAACATAATTTTTATTTCTAGGCTTTTATTCCTTCCTTTCCTTCCTCCTACTTCCACCCTTCTGTTGAGAGACAATTCTTTTTGGGTCCCTTGCATTTCTGTACATCTGTGAGCAGAGGCACTGACTGTCTTTGCAAGGATATTTGTAGAGCAAATAGCCTCGGAAGATAGAAATAGTGCCACCCTCTGGAGCAAGAACTGATATGGTTACGTACATTATAAAAGATTTGGATTCTCTAAACTCAGGGATCCATTCCCGTAACAAGCTCACTGTGTGTGTGCAAGTATCATCTGGCTCTCTGCCTATTGCCCTGTGGAATTAGGGCTTGGAGAACTGGTGCAGAAAGTGATCCTGTCTTTTCCCATTGCTGAATAATAAATGGTCCTTTGTCTCTGATCCAGGAGTCTCATGTCTTCTGCCAGCATCAATGAAACTGTGGCAGGCTAATTTGTTAACTTGTAAGTAGGATCAAATGTCAGTTCTTAACACCTACTTTTAGGGAAGAAGTTTGGGAGTAGAATGACAGATGCTTGGGCCCTCCTTGAAAACTGAGTGGTGAAAGTCATCGTGGCTTATTCCTCAGTCAGTTATAGAATGTCCTCATCCGGGTCCCTGTCAGCCTAGAAGGAAATTACCATTATGGGCCACATAACAATGTTTTGGTCAGTGACAGACCAAATATACTATGGTGGTCCCATAAGATTATAATGGCTACACTATATAGCCTAGGTGTGTAGTAGGCTGTACCATCTAGATTTGTGTAAGTACACTCTATGATGTTAGCACAACTATGAAATCATGTAACAACACATTTCTCAGAATGTATCCCTGCTGTTAAACAACACATGACTATGTGTATATACCCATTTCATCTACCCAAAAGTCTATCTGCTTCTAAATAACAATATCTATAATTTAGTTATACATCAATTAAATCCACAAAATTAATCCATATAATAAAATAAAACAAAAAATCATGGCAAGGGACTATATAAAGTAGAAA